CTAGAAACACTTTTTGTATTCAAAAGGCATAAAGTGCTAGTCTTAGTAATATACATACCACACAATGACTCTAAGGTTAGAAAAGATATCTAGCAGCAGGTCATCAAAAGAACATTTGAATGTCAAAGTAAAAGAAAAGCTACAAAAGTCATAATACTAGGAGATTTTAATGACATTCGCTGTAGAGAGCTAGATCAGAACAGAGAAGACTCTAGGCAAACCCAAAAACTCTCATTCCTAAAATGGCTTGAAAACTTTAATATAATTGATATATTCAGAAATTTACACCCTTACGAAAAGAAATTTACAAGAGAAAATGATTAAGTAAAGTCTAGAATTGACTACATTTGGGTATCTAAAGATTTAGGCCAAGGCCTTACCTATTGTGACATACTAGAAGCAGACGTAGTCACAAATAGTGATCATGCTATCGTAATTGCAAAAATGCTAATAGGCATAAAGAAGAAAAACAGATCTTTGGCTTGTGAAAAAAGACTAAAAGAAAAAAGATAGTCATTTCTTCTCGACAAAGCAACAGGAGAAAACTGGAAGGATTATAAAATGAAACTAGATAGCTTACTCAAGAAGAAGCTGAATAGCATTTAAGTAAGGTTTCTAGTGATTAGGCCAACTTCTGAGCTTAATAGAGTCCAGAGTTAGAGTTTGGAAAGCTGAAATGCCTCTGTTGTTATGAACTTTAAGAGTGGCTAAGATTCTTTCTGCTTTTGCCCAGAAGGATTCACTAGATATAAGTTTAAGCCAGATGGAAGTTAGCCTAGCATCAAGTATATCTTTTAAGATTGAAGCTGAGAGGCCTCCATGTTCATAATTAAGCTGAAAGGTTTAGTATCGGGGAAGTAGCTTTGAGTTGTTCTTTGTCCAATTACTGATAAAAGTATTTATTGTATTTAACTGTTTTCTGCTAGGTGGGTGAAGATAAGCTGCATACCAAATTTTGGAGATTAGAAGAGTCTTTGCTATTAGAATTTTGCCTTTAAATGATAGATTTCTTGATAAAAGATTATAGATATTCTTTTTGATTTTTTCTGTAAGATTAAACCATAGATCTTTTCTGATGCTTCCTTTGATAGTTATCTCGAAGTCTAGGATCTTGAGGTACTCATTGTCATTCTCAAGTATTTTGAAACTACTCATATCAGGGAGCTCTACTCGGCGTGCATAGTCTGTGAGAGGAGCCAAAATCGACTTTGTTTTGTTGATTTTGGAGTTGAAAGCAAGCTCGTATTTTTGGAGTATGGTTTTAAGACTAGACCAGTCAGAGAGAGATCCAATACCTATTGTCAGATTATCTACATAAGCTGCTACTTTGAATGGGAGGCCTTAAAGGTTTATGCCACTAATATTGTTGTGTATTGCTTGAATAAGTGGATTTATTACTAGAATATAGAGTAGTGGTAAAAGTAGATCGCCCTGTCTAACTCCTCTTTAGACCTTAAAAGATTCTGAGATTCTTCCTTGATCTGAAATATAGGCTTGTTGTATTGTAAATAAATTGTTAACTATGTTGACTATTTTTGAGTTGAAGCTCATTTTCTCTAGTATGAGATTCATAAATTGATGGCTGATGTGATCGAATGCTTTTTGTTGGTCAAGAAAAAGAAGCCAATGCTGTTTAGATTGGTTATTTTGATTTCTTAATACTGTTATGATATCGAGAGTGGAGTCCATAATTGACCTGTTAGCAATAAAGGCTTGTTGCGAAGAACCAATAATTTCATTACAGATAGAGTTTAGTCAGTTGGCTAAGATTTTTATAAAAATCTTTGCATCACAGTTGATTAGTGAAATTGGCTTCCAGTTGCTAATATCTTTTAAATTATCAGACTTTTTTGGTATTAGTGTGATAATGCTTTTATACCATGATTGGAGGCTAGCTCCAAAGTCGAGAATCTGATTAAACAGTTTTGCTAGAACTGGAGTAATTTTCTCTTTAGTATCCTTATAGAATTCGTAGGTAAGACTATTGAGCTCTGGAGATTTGTTATTTGGAAGTGCATCAATAATTTTATTGATTTCATCTTCTGTTATAGTTCTGCTTAGAGCATTATTTTGGTCTGATGAGACTGTAAGAAGGTCTTGTATCAGTTCTTTTGCTGCATTAAGATCGATTGGATCAGCCTGGTAGATATTATGGTAGGAGTCTCTAATATATTGCAGTGAGTTTGAGAGAGTTGGAGCACTGGTGCTGTTTGGGTTTATAATTTTGGCATTGCATGAGATAGAGTGTCTAGACTTATAAAGTGAGAAGAAGTATTTAGTAGATTTTTCACCTTCTTCTATTCATTTCACATTGGATCTTATTTGCCATTTTTCTGAGAGAAAAATAAGCTCTTCTTGTAGTTGTAGTTTGAGATTCTCTGCTACACTTTGGAGATCTTCTAGAATTAGGTTTTTGGCTATTCTGTTGTTAATTGCAACTAATCATTTGTGAATAGTGTCTATTGTTTTTTCTGGTGCTAGTTTTGGCTTGAAGGCTCTGCAGATCGATTAGAAAATAACCTTATGCGAGTCTCAGTTGTTGATATCTTGAATATTTTCTATTTCACTGAAAATTTCTGATTTGAGATTTGTAAATGACCAGAACTTTCTGTTAAATTTCCAGTAGAAACTATATACTGGTTCTGAGTTGAAAACAATCTCACTTTCAACAAGAAGGTGATTAGAGTTTCTAAAATGAGTGCAAGTGTTTTTGCAGAATTGGCTGTGATTGGAGTCAATGAAGATATAGTCTAATTATGTGGCCATTCTTTGATTACCCTGAATGACCTGGTAAAAAGTTAGGAAAGAGCCTGATCTTGTGACTTCTGCAGTATCAGTAAAGTCTGATACAAGGTTTTTAAGAAGATCATTAGATGGATCTCTTTGAGGATAAGCTTAGCTAATACGGTCTTTTTCTGGGTTAATATTGACATTGAAATCACTTGCAATAATATTGACTACCTCTTCATCTCTCAAAGGAGACCAGTTATTGAAAAAGTTTCTTCTTTCATCCTGTTTTGAAGGGGCATAAACATTAGTCAGAAGATAATTGCAGTGTTTATAAGTAGTCCTTGCTAAGATTATTCGACTATCTTTGAGTTCTTGTGAGTCAGAAAATTAGATTTTTTTGTTTTCAGCAAGAATAGCTGTTTTGGAGGACCAAATTGAGTCATAGTTCCATTGATGTGCAAGAAAGTTTCTAGTTGATATATCTGTTAGGTTTGTTTCTTGTAGAAAGATAATATCTAAGTTGTATGATTTTAGAAGTGTGATTGTTCTTTGTGCTTTGGACTTATTGTTTAAGCCTTTGACGTTTAGTGTTGCTATTTTGATTTTGTTCATAAGAAAGAAGAAGTTTGTTAGGTTAGTCATTGAGTATTTTAATACTCTTGGTGATGACCACCTTTTGTTTCATTGTCTGATAACAGATCCCTTTTTCTCGAAGGTTCTGACGATCTGATATGATTTTGTTCCTTCTTATTAGATTTGTTTTTGAGTATTTTCGTAGTGGTTGTTGTAGATGTATTATCATCTGCATTGTTATTTTCATTTGTTTCCATAAGAACAGCATCCTGATCAGTGTTAACCTTTTCGATCTCCATATTTGTAGAGGGAGATGAAGTTGTAGTCAATGGTTGTTCTTGGATTTCTGAGTTGCTGCTTGTTAGAGGTAGGTTTTCTGTTGTTGGTTTTACATGAGGAAGCTCTTAACAGCAAGTAGTAGTTGTGCTTGCTTCTGTAGTAAGAGGTTCATTGTTATTTGTAACAGTTTCATTTGTTTCATTGATATATGGGTTATTTGTACTGAAAGATAGGTTTGGGCTTGTAGTGGGCTTATTTCTTTGAGCCCTTTTTTCTTTGTGTAGATGTCTTAGCTCAATTGAGTATTTGAGTTCTTCACAGTCTCTTTTCACATGCCCTTCCTTTTCACAGTAATAGCAGACTTTTGGGGCTTCCCTCCAGTCAGTAGTAACCTTGTGGTCCCCTACGTGAGTGGTTTTAGGTAGTCTTGTAGACAGGTCTGGGTCATCTGTTGTTTCAAAGAAGATGATCCATTGGTCTGAGCAAACAGAGGTGCCTTCAAAGAGAAGAGGTTTAATTGAAGCAATTAATCCTAAATCTTGGAATGCTTCTCTTATAAGAGCACTTGTTTCA